ACACAAACAATACACAAGAATATTAACAAATAAAAAAGTTATGCTGTTATTGGCATGCCACATGTAAAGCAATGCGGCGACGGTTACTTTAAAAAATTGCGGTTACGACGTCACAAGGTATTGACCTTACGGAGCAGTTTTTTTACTCATTCACGAAGTTGGCCCATACGTGTTCCAACTGTTTTAATGGGCAGCAGATCGACTGCCATATATATATCTGTAACAGTCAATTGTTTGTAAGAATGTGAGATGTAAAGAGCTCCTTTAATGACGCAACTTCCGTGATTTTCTTCTGTAACTGATTGCTGGACAAATCCAAATATTATGTCTCTCATTGATACATGTTTCTGATATAAGTGATATCATACATACATTCGAGGAAAATAAAGAATAAATCAACTAAGAAGACAACTAAGAACAAAATTGCTATTATAATTTAAAATAAATTAACGATAATCCGATTTGAACACCTTGGCTTGTAATTGTTAGACACAAAGTTCAATCCAATTAGACTATTACGTAAAAGAATAATATCTATACAATTAGATTAAACCCAAATCATGATTAGTAATTAATACAATGGAAGCAAATTATCATTTCAAAATCCTCAGTGTATGATGAACCGTACACTATAGCTACTGAAATCGAATAGTGAGACAAATTTTCCGCAGTTCATCGAATCGACTGAATCATTTAAAAAATATTAGAAAAAAAACGATCTCGGCGATTGGACGTCACCACGAATCCTTAGAAATGTTCTTCTTATTAATGACCTCTCCCTTCTGATGATTTTCCATTTCTCTATTACCTTTCTTATCGGTCAATATGCATAATACAAAAAATATTGTGTGCGCTATTATTAGGATCTTTTCCGTTTGTAGGGCGATAAATTCCTCTTTTTTTTTTTTTTTTTCTACGTTTTTAAACAGTTTCTCGACCTATTTTACAAATTTTCTAATATTGCAATCGATTTATCGAGACGATATCGAGAGAATATACTTATAACGTGAGATTTCTTAACAGATGACACGTTTTGATGTGATTAAGCAAATAATAATATAAAGGTTTAAATGAAAGTCACATGTTTTTGAACAACGTTCAAGATATCAGGCTCATGAACGGTTTTGGCGTATTATTAAAATCTTAAAAAAACGCAAGGCTTATTCGTAAAATATACGCACCATTAAGCAGCCTGATGTACAGCGCAAATTTACGCACTGTACGCCGGTGATGCGTTACCCATGGTTTTTAATTTAGCTAGTTCGAGACAAAGACTAACTGGCAAAGAAATATATCAGAATATAGATATAAAAATACGCATCAAGTTAAAACAGAATCAATTAAAGTTTCCGATTAAGTAAGTTAGATATATATAAAAGATAAATGAAAAAATAATGAAAAATGAAAAATCATAGTTCAAATGACAAAGTTAACAAAGTAAACGAGTTTAATTATAAAAATTGATCATACCCTGTATATAAGATCTAGGATGTCAGAGTTGCAACATCGCACACAACATTGACTCCACAATTTTAATAATATAAATTAAAAAGAAATTAAAGAAAATTTTAAAACTTAAAGCACATACTGTTTAGGCAAAAATCATGCATATTAAGTAATTTATACTCAGTAAATTCGATGTTTAAGAATATATACAGATAAGTTTAATGAATTTATTGTATGTAATTTTTCCATTTAAGTTGCCTGAGAGTTCAGCTTCCCATTTTTATCTTGGTGATTGTTTGTTGTTGTTTTCTTTAGAAGAAGCTTTTCCATCCATTCACAGAAAACAAATGCTTTTATTTAGTTTTATATTTGTGTTGTTCCATAAAATTTCTTTACCAACATCAGTTATTTCTTTATTAAAGTTTGCATACGACCAAGCACTGGGCACGTCTTTTAAAAATCTAGATATGTTAAGATATCATTTATTAATAAATATAAGTTGTTTTCCATATATTTTAAACATATTTTCATATACTTTAAACCATTTCGAGTGTTGCTGCAATTTAATGCGTTTAGCCAGAGAGCATTTTAAAGAATATATAAAGCTTTCAATGTTTAACATTTTAAGCCCCATGCTGGTAATCTTGAATAATCCTATCACTTGATGCTTTGTCTATAAAACTAGGAATTGTCAGTAGCAGTAGAAGCGCAATAGCAGAACAAGTAGCCGAGCAGTAGCAGTTGCAAAACCATAAAACGTGAAATCTGCAGTAGCATTAGTACTGCAGTAGCAGTGTCAAAATTATAAAACGTGAAATTAGCAGTAGCTGTAGCATAGCAGTAGCAGTTGCAAAAATAGAATTCGTGAAATTGGCAATAGCAGTAGCACAGCAGTAGAAGTATCAAAATTATGAAAAGTGAAGTTGGCAACAGTAGCACAATAGTAGCAGTATCACATTTATAAAACGCAAAATTGACAGTAGCAATAGTCCGGCAATAGCAGTTGTAAAATAATAAAACAGTGACATTGGCAGTAGCCAAGTTATAAAACGTGCATTTGACAGTAACAGTAGCACAGCACTAGCAGTAGCAAAATTATAAAACGTGAAATAAGCAGTAGCACAGATGTAGCAGCAGCACAGTAGTAACAGTAGAAGTTATAGTGGCAGTAGCAGTGGTAGTTGCAGTAGCACAGCAGCAGCAATAGCACAGACATAGCTGAGCAGTGACATGAAAACATATTTTTAACATTCAATAAGCTTTTACATGTATTAAGACTTCAAAGATAGTTCGTGTTTTAGTGTACATTTTGGTATTCGAATTAGAATCACACACTGGATTAAAAAAGTATTCATTATGAATTAAAAAGACATGTTATAGAAAGAATGAAAAACAATGTAATATATTGTTTTCATCAGATATGTAGTTTTAATTTTACAACAGTTGATTGGTTGCTTCGTAATGCTGGCTGAATTCTTCTGAATACTCAAGATAACGGATTTCATGACCTACATAACGTTATAATTTATCATAATGTAACGTATATATTATGTTTTTTCCACTTTTCAAACTGGACGAGATTTCTTTTTTATCAAACCACAGATAAACAAACAGTTTCTATATTTAGCTCTATGATTAAACGAGTTCAACTTTGAATTCGGACATAGATTTTTAACTGAACAAATAATTTTTTTACATTTTCATGACTTTTTCTGTGGTTGTTAGTATTTGTCGGGTTTCATTTTTTCAGCAAATCAGCAAGTACTAACCTTTGGTATATGAAATTACAATGTGCGAACACCGAAAACAATTTTTAATATGCAAATATAAACACGGTGAAAATCAATTTCCTCCACGAAGTTTGTAAATCAACAAGACACATTCAAAACTGTTTTCGCTGCGAGTATAGATATCTGATAAATGATCGATCTTTATAACTGGCCTGTTTACTACTTCTTGACCGAGTGGCACCTGGTGTCTTACTCCATCAAGAAAAGTGAACGTCTAGTTTGTCATATGGGAAACATGTTCCGACGTAAAACAATAGTGACTGTGTTCTACTTACTTGAAGATCTTATCGCACTAAACATTAACGCAATGCGAATATTTCGCTGACATCACAAACGACTTCTTCCTATTTCCTATCTTTTGTACCTAGATTACTGCCTATGGCACAGTGCTTATTAATAATAGCTTATTGCAAACTGCCGCCTGCTTAAGGGTGACTATTTTCCAGTTTCAAATTATAAAATCTATAAAGAACTTTATAATCGCCGAAAAAGTTGCAGTCTCTGCGCTTTTATATATAGATCAGATAATCACTGTGTCTACTGCTACACTGTTACTGCAACTACTGTGCTTCTGCTTCTGCTACTGCTATTGCTGTGTATATGCTACTGTTGTACTACTGCCTCTGCTTTACTACTGCTACTAATACTGCTCCTGATGTGCTTCCTTTGCCACTGCTATTGCTGTGCCACTGCTTCTGCTTTACTACTACTCCTGCCATGCTTCTTTTACCACTGTCCCACTGGTGTTCGACTTCTTCTGCTTCTGATGTGCTACTGCTACTTCTACTGATATGCTACTGCCAAGAATGTGCTTCTGCTACTGCTACATTACTGTTGCTGCCAATTTTACGTTTAACAAATTTGCTACTGCTGTGTTACTGTTACCGCTACTGCTACTGTCAATTTCGCGTTGTATAATTTTGCTACTGTTGTTGATGTGCTACTACCACTGGTAATTTCACTTCTGATAATATTGCTACAGTTATTTTCAAACCATCCCATCCAGCTTATAAAACGTCGAGTATTCAATTTGCACCAGTAAAGATGGAAGTTTCAAAATGACCTTTACAGTACCTGTGTCACTTAACCTAGTGTTACACGTACATAATGGATGGTAAGTGTCTAATATCAATTGAGGGATAAACAGACTCGCCAGGGTATCATGCTGATTTTGCTTGGAAAGTTACACATTACCAAAACAATTAAGCATTTAATGTCCGAACCGTTTCCAAGTCGAAACATTTGATAAAAATAGAGAGATTTATGTAAAAATATAGCGTCCAAATATACCATAACTTGATTCGGTTGCACGAAACGCTGAAATACGGTACTGTGTATATATTCTTGCGCATATTTTAACAATAAATGTTTGTGTTAATTTTATAACCATGTAATTATTTTATTCATGAATGAAATAAAAAATTAATTTCTTTAAATTTGATTTCAGAGTACCCGTCTATAAACATTTATGTTTGAACAGTAAATATATTAAATGAAATATTTTCTTTGTGATAAAAATGCTCACATTTTTTTTACAGCAAGTCAGTCAGATCATTTCGTTCATCTGTTTTGCTTACAGTTAAAGGAATTACAAATACATATAATGCGGAGGAGGCAATATTTATCAGTTTTAAAATGATATAAACGTCACGTAACGTTTCATAGACATTAATTTGCAATGACGAAAAACAACAAAAAACAACACCCACTACACTCACTCACTTTACTAAGAATCAAAATTAAATGTGTAATACTAATTCATACCTGCAACACAAGGACAGTTTGTTACAGTTACTTCACTTGTTTTTGAGCAATTGAAACCAGCGGTTGAATTACATGTCCGGCTTTTAAAGCAAAATTCTCCTTGTTTCTTACAACTCCAATCCGACCATCCGCCTCTATGTTCGCTAGTATCTAGGAAATAAAGTAGAAGATACATGTAAATAAACAAAACACAAGCACAAAGTATCCTTCTTTATGCGAAAATTAGCAATTTAAATGCATTTTTTCAGTTCATACAAAAATGATTCGTATTTTGTTATTATGCTTTTATTATTATTTTTTTTTAATCAAGTTTCTTTCCTACAAATTCCTACAACTTCCACAATTATATGTTTTATACATGGAGTAATTTCGTATGCGAAACGTCACTCATACAGTGATATTCATGACTCATCCATTCAAGCAAGTTAATATATTAAGCAATCGTTGACAGATGTTGTATTGTTTGATCATCGAAATAAGAAGAGTTTAAAAGCTGCACTTAGCTTTTAATTTATGTTGGAAAAACAATTATATGTTAAGTATTTTAGTAACTTAATCTTAGAAGGTGAATCACATCATTTTGTAAGCCTTCTTCAAAACAGATTTTTTGAGAGCTATTTATCGTGATAACACGCCGGCGAAGCTCTTTTCTAAAAATTAAAAAATCGGGAAACGAATCACACACTTGACTTTTAACAAAATAGAGAACAAGCCATTCAGTAAGGGGTACCGATTTTTTATTTGACAGTAATATAAATCAATATATGTTAAACAAATTAACTGCAAAACCATTAAGAAAAGAAATAGAGATTTATTTAAAATATAGTTTATGCCGCATTTTAATTGGCTTAAACTATACACTGCAAAACAAGTATATTCTCACACGTTTTAAAAATAAACCTTTTAATACCCGTGTGATATTATAAGGTTGATGTATATTTTTTTTTCTATTCGAGTAACCAATACAGAGACATGTATGTTTGCACAATTAAACAACTTTGTTTTGTACAATCCGTCAATGGGGTAATCACTGCGTCTACAGGAATAGAAAATGTATGGGAATACCTTTTTTTTTATCAATTATTACTTTATTAATAAAATATAAACGTTACGTACTACACTCATGTTACTGTTAATATCCTTACTAAAAATTGAAATGAATATACTACTCCATACTTGAAACACAAGGGCAGTCTCTCACTGTTACTTCACTTGTCTTTGAGCAATTGAATTTAGCGGTTGGAGTACATGTGCGACTCATAAAGCAAACTCCTCCTTGTTCCTTACATCTCCAATCCGACCATTCTCCTAAAAATTTAAATGGCGCTTTAACACAACAGTCATTTTAATTTTCATAATTCTCGCCCTTCCTTAACGGCGATAATTATATACATACAAAATATTTGACTATATGTACTCGTTCACCACTTGCCCAATCAGAACAGATAATTCATTGCTTCATGAAAAAAAATGAATGGCAAAAAAAAAAAAATAAAAGGGGGCGCCTACAGGGCACATCATCCGACATGTTATTGTCGGTAAATTGAAATACCTAACTGGGAAGCTGTGAAAGCTCATACGGGGTAAACACTATTCAGCAGAAAAAGAAACATTTATTATTTTTTGTTCCAGAAAAAGCCTTTTCCAAGACAAAAAATCAAATACCCGGCAGAACAGTGATTGTGCTAACATTCTTTGGAAAAACTAATACTTTAATCATATATATTTGTGTTCTTTTTGTAAAATTTGATAGACATGATGCATGTTTATCCTTTTCATTCACGGATTTTTTTATTCGATATCTATTTCCTGTGAATATATAGAGGGAAGACCCGAGTAACGGTAGGGTTCTTACAAAGACAAATAAGTGTCTTTTTCCCATTACCTCGCTTTACATCGTATGAGTGTATTCTTTGCTTCGGATTGTCCCTTATAATGCAGTGTGAAAGTGTTTTTTTTTACTTTTGTATTATCAAATCTTAATGAAAATTAACTAAAATACTATGAATGGCATCTAACTATAAGTTGTTTATCCTAGAGATAAATCGTCAGAACTGTTATATTCGTTTATAAAATATATATTTATTAATACAATGCCAATTATTATGGTTTTTACAAAATTTCTCCTGCAATTCACGAAGCAAAAGTACGATAGTCAAAGTAAAATGATTTAAAGAATATTCCTATCTATAAACATGGTTAAGCTCTACAAAAATGACAAATATACAGTTTGTAAACATTTTTTTTTTTTTGCAATGCTGTTTTGACTCCTCACGTTTTGACACCCGAGAATCGATTGAAAAAAACACGTGTTTTTCCCTATTGCCTTTACTTATATTGTCCTATCATTTTTTTCACCCATCCGGTTAACCATTTCATGAACAGTGTCCAACCAATGTTCATTATTTTCTGCTTTGTGTATGACATGTCTGGGACTGAAAGTTGCTTCCACTGTCTTTTATCTCGTGTTTGGTATAGCGGCTAGGGTTAAAATATCATGACACTAAGTAGGTACACGGTAAAAGGGCGACCAGACGGTTCTTTACAATTGTTGCAACAGAAGTTATTTAACAGTAACAGGGCTTTATAAAATATTATTAAATAAAAAAAACAAGCTTCTTTCGCTTTTCATAAAAAAAATGTGTGATGTTTTATGCCCAGATATTATTTTCTTCACTAAACTTGCTTAACGATTTCAGTATTTGCAACCGAATAAAAGTGTTTTGACCCCTAACATTCTAGAGAGTAATATAAAGTTACAAAAAATGTTTTAGTGAACGTGCAATAAATTAGATATTCACGCGGTGTCACTTTACGAAAATGTGATGATTTGTAATAGGTAACATGTTTTATAAGGGTTTTTACAAAAATGAACTGGTTCAACAGGAAATAATGGACCATTTCAAAAAATAATTGCAGAAAATACAGACATTGTCATTGTTTTTTTTTTTCTTGTATTTTTTTTTTTTTTTTTTTTTGGGGGGGGGGGGGTGTCACGCAAATCACAAAAACATGTCACGCGGTATACGCACCAGGGAATTGTTTTGGGGGTGTTATTTAACGTGGTAGTCTTGATTATAGTACATGTTTATTGTGTTTGGTAATCCAAATATATTATATGTTCATTTTCTATGTCATTACACGCTATTAATAATTAGAGGATATTTAATGAGTGAAGGTTCACTACTGAATTTATTGAACGAGTTAGATAAAATTAGATGATGCGTGTAAACCCGATTTGAAGATACGTTTCTGTGATTATATCATAAAAGTTGAAGAAAAAAATATTTACCAGTTATCAAACAGCATATTCCTAACAATAGGAGGCACACCGAAATGGAATTCATCTGTCACAAATCCAAAGGTTTATGTTAACTCTAAAATCCCGCTTTTAATGTTCCAAATATTATAGTTGTGACAAAATTTCTCATGCATTCATAATATGATCCGTTTTCTAGTTTGAAAAATGCAAGAAGGTCTTTTAATGTTATTCTAACATTTATAACGAGCACTGTTAAGGACACTTATTTGTCCTATTTAGTCTGTAAGATAAGATGAAATTCAGATTAGAAATTAAAATTAGTGCAACAGTAAATGTCCGCTGCACACTTTGTACATATTCTGATAGCAGATATACATGTATGCAAGTTTAACGACTACAAATTTAGGCGGCCTTCAAAATTATCTTGGCTTGTATGGAAAATATGATATCATATCAACAAGCAGAAAGTTACATTATGCTTTCACAGTCGAGTTGTGATAAATTAGCCGTAAATATTTCGATCAATCAACAATAACTGAATATAACAAATGTTCAAATATAAAAAAACTGCACAGCCGTGTTTGTAGCCAATAATTCCCACATGTTTTTTTTTATTATTATTATTATTACTCAGGTGACGTTTATCATAAAATTGAATACAAATATGGCAAAATCCATGTTTTACTTACACACTGATCGCTTACTCTTGCATAACATAATGTTACTTTAGTAACCAACAACTGAGAATACCTGATAATACTTAGTAATGTGCTTAACTATTTCGAATAAACACAGAGAAAGAAATAAGAAGAAATGCATCATAGGAAGGCATTTTTTGTTTTGTTTTTATGATGTGTGCCTTGGTCAGGCCAAACAAGATATTTAAGCCGCGCCATGACAAAACCTATATAGTGCGTTTGCAACAAGCATGTATTCAGACTAGCCTACGAATCCGCGCAGCCTGATCAAGATCCATTTTCTTCGCTTTCAATGTTGTTCTTTACAAGTAGAGAAACTGATAGCAAATATCATGGATCCTGATCAGACTGTGCGGATGCTCAAGCTTGTCTGGATCCATGCTGGTCGCTATCGCACTATGTTGGTTTTGTCATGGCGTGGCTCATTTATTTTCATATAAATTCCAATGGTACGACAGTTAATCTATATTATATGGTCATCATGTGTTGGTATTAATAGTTATGAAAAAGACTGATACTATATATCAACAACTAACGTGGAGCACGTGGGTATAAACGTGATACGGACATTTGTAATCAAAGATAAGAATGATTTTGTTAAAGATATACTATGCTCATCGTTAAGTTAAATACAATTATGCTAATCACAGGATTTTTTTTTTTTGAAATCTATAAAATGCTTACTGAATATGTCACGTTTGAATGAAGGAATGAATAAACTATATTTGGGAAGCTGTGTTCCTATAGCATGTGAAGTAAATTTGGTCTTCTCTAAAGAAAACTGCCTGTTTATTTAATGGCACTTTTTATACATATTGTGACCACTGATAGGGTTAAAAAAATTAAGATATATATTGTGTATTTGAAGTAAAAAACAAACTTAATTTTATATCAACAAAGAGATATGAGCCAAAATATTTCAAGAAAATCACACTTACGCAAAATGTACTAAGATTGTAATAACGGTAAAACAATTAAAGATTAAAGTAATGACATATGTTAATGACTGATTTTTCTGCGGTATTTATCACCATATTTATACTGTGTGACTAACCAGTGATGGCAATCTTTTGCATATTCTGATCCCTTTTTTGGTAATTTACGTTGTTTATCTGTGTCGTTTTTAAATGTTTCAAGTATTTTCTTTGGTTACATCATACAATTTTACTTTAAGATACATTTCCATTTTTTTTCATGAAAACTATCATGAATCTGGCGGCTAGTTGCTTTAAAATAGTAGTTTAAACAAATTCAATAAATTTGTTGTGCAATACAACCGTAATGAATACGATGAAAAGGCATTGCTTTGACCATGTCAAAGTATAACATGACTTTTGTCCTACTTAATTAGTTTACACAAATTTTATCTATGTTTGATAAAATATAAAAGACAAACTCATGAATGTTGTCTTAAAACCAACCAGTACTGAGCAATGAGTGTAAATGTTCACTATGAGCTATCCAAAAGAAGTTAAATATAAACTAAAATATAACATTCTAGCATAATTTCATTTACATGTGATTCAAATTAACTCTTGATTGCTAAAGCCTTGACTATATATTTACCAATGAAAAGTAAATTTGACTGATTATTAGCCTTAAACAGATTTTTTTTTTATATTTTCAACGTATTTCGTCTTTATCGATTAATTATTTTGCGTAGTTCATTCTGATGCGGTTATTCGCTGTTTCACATATATACGCACTTGTTCGCCTTTAACATGTTCGTTTTAACCGAACGTGTATTAAAGGTCATCGTTATCTATAACAGAAATCTAATATTAGCTTAAAATTTCCTGTTTCTATCACGCAGTTATTCAACTATGCCTGTTCACAGACAATAAACTTGGGCAAAAAGTAGTCAAATACATAAAATATAAAATATTTGGTTTAAACATATTTATTCGATATATATACAAAATGAACAATATTTACACAGTACATTTTGGGATTGGGCAGAAAACTATGAAAGCTTGAGAGCGTCCTCTCTCAGACGTTTTGCCAATCTGTTGTCAAGTCATTTGATTGTCAAGTCATTTGATTGGTGACAAACACTCGAAGCACTGTTACACAGAAGAGGTTAAATATTGATGTTTTTTCCAGGTTTTATACGATATTTTATGATAAACAAGTTTTATTTTAAACAATTGATTATTAGTATTATATTTTTATTTGTACATTTGTACATGATATGTCAAAGTTTTAACAAATTTGAATGACTTGATTTATAATCAGAGATGTTTATAAACAAATAAACAGTTACATATCTGACATCATTGGGAGACATTTTGCGAATAACAGATATGAAAAATCAAAAACGTTTATCCTCTTATTATCATAGGCCGTTTATTTTGATTTATATTCATATATTTCCTCCTATCTGAATACCGTTGCAGGCTTTCGAAAACATTTCAATGTTCAATTGCGTGCTCATTTTATTCTACACCGGGCTTCACATGTAGAAAAAAATACGTAATAAACAGGTGCGCCTTATGTTTTCTAATATTGAAATAAAAAACGTTAATCGTTAATAGAAATTTTACAAATCTTAATATACGTACGTCACAAACAGTAGCGTGTTACGTTTATTATACGAGCTTACCCAACATCATCTAGCTTACAGAATGTCTGTGGTTCTTCTCAAGTGTCTGTTCGTACACAGGCAGATGGAAATCCAAGGTCTTCCTTTACCAGTTTAGCCGGTGCTAAGGAGTGCATAAAATTTGTTCATAAAGACGTACCTGAATCTTCTTCTTCTTTCAGCTTCCCATATCTTTGTCTTAACACTTTGCATATTAGAAAAAGAAAACAATAGAAGTGATTATATCATTTCAGCAAGTCTGATATAGATATTACTTGTGTTTTTATTCCCTTTCTGTTCTCGCCTCATTTTGCTTGTTTATTATAAACTATATAAATGTTATCTAAAAGCTAAAAATCCAAGAAAGTATAATATCTTTTAATGTAAGATTGGGGACTCAATAAAAACAAAAATAAAGAATTTAATGAAACAACATATAGATAGTTTACAATTACAATATATTAGTTTACAATTCAACAAAACATGATAAACAAGCTCATGAAGGAAAGGCGACGTTCAATGAACGCAACCCCACACGACCCAGCAACAAGAACCAGTGGCAAGAAATACAGACGACACCAAACAAAAATGGGACAGGGCACAAGCACGGACAGGTCAATTACTGAACTGATAAATAATTTGTAACTAATAAGGAATTCAAAGAAAACAAATGAATGATTGAATAATAGAAAATAATTTGTAACTGATAAGAAATTCAAAGAAAACAAATAAATGATTGAATAATAGGCCAACTAAGTCAAAGGGCACAGGGGAAAGGGACACAAGCAAAAGTGTCACCAAAACAGCATGAAACAACACAGACATACATCTGAGGAACAGAGAGAGGCGCTGCCTCGGAACGGTCAGCAGCACAAGTACTGCTGTTGACTTTAAACCGGTTAATGGTGCACCAAACCTCAATCTTAGCCCTATCATGTTCCTATAAACAAGAGTGTAAAAAAATTAATCCCCGCCAAGTGACATTCTGACACTTGTTATGGTCACAAACGGTTAAATAAGTAAAACACCAAAATGATCATGTAGAAACATATAAAAGTACACCCAATGACCATAACATAAGTACTCAATGTCCTAAAGAAAGACAGAACAACTAAGCCTTAACTCCTGAAACATATTAATCCTAAAAACAAATAAAACTTTCGAGAGATCGTGGAGTAGTATACATTGCAATAAGTAAAGTGCCTCTTTAAAATTACCTCAAGAGATCATACACACTTATACATCGCTGTTTTGATTTTCTCATCTAATTTTAATTGCAAACTTGACAAATATACTTCCCGAAAATTAAAAGAATATTGCATTAATGTCCTGTTCTGAATGGTAACAACAAGAGCGATACAGTCCAATAAAATAGCATAATACAGTCCAATAAAATAGCACAATAAAACTCAGTAAAATAGCACAATACAGTCCAATAAAATATCACAAAACATTCCAAAACTTAGCACAATACAGTCCAATAAAATAGCACAATACAGTCCAATAAATTACGTGTAGTATAATACAGTTCAATGGTTATTATAGTACAATACTGTCCAATAAAATAAATATAGTACATTATACTTTAGTAACATTTCACAATACAGTCCAATAAAGTAGCATAATACAGTCTATTGAAACAGCACAATAATGTAGTATCTGTTTATTGTATTGCTTCACTAAACATACGTAGTATTTATTTTAAAGAAACAAAATATTTGTTTTACTTTGAAAGACTACGCACGTAAGTAGTGTTGTGCTTTGAAACGAGTATGAAAATGTTTGACGTCATGGAGCGCGCGAATTTTACCGCCTTTTCCATGAGTAAAATGTCAGCAGTATCGATTTTGAAACATTTATATGATTCAGACAAAATTATGGAAAAATTTGGCATCTTATTATGACATGATATGCATTAAGTTAGGTCTTACTCACAAGTGTTAATAGTCAGCGAACAGGTAAAAATAAAAAATATAAAAAAAACTAGAGATGTTGCCATACTTGTGTTCAATTTAATATTCTTCTATGAAAAAAACAAAACAATCAATAATCCAGGTGACCAACAGATGTTTCTATCAATATCGTTCAGAATGTATCGGTAACATTCAATACTTAAAAAAGAGTTAGGGAATCTTTTTTACATTCAATCTTGTTTTTATATTGCATAATAATTTTTTTCATTATCAATTATTGGTTAATCTATGGAATTCAACTCAATTTGACAGAGAGAAAATGACCAAAAATGTCACTTTAATTATAATTTTAGTGCATTGCCATCAATGCTGTGGTATGTTTGAGAGACCGCATGGTAAATAAATTAAGGTTGTTCCCTTCGATATGCGGCAAGTTCTGGAAACACGGAAATGTACGAACACAAGCTAGGCGAGGAATACAAAGTATTGAATACGGATACGGATTTTGTATTTCTTCTGTCAAATATGAACGTATTTTGTAACTAAAAAAACAAAACCTTATAGGCATATAAGCTATGTTCGTTTATGCCGTCACAAGGTGCGTTTACTTGTGTGGGTGTATACGATACATTTTAATGTTCTGCACAATGATAATAAGAATCTAAGAATCGTGCATCTTTTTCTCTAACCTTACTATATTTGTTTACTATCTGTGCTAAAAACATCATAGTCATTGTTTATTGGAACATTTTTCTTATCTGTTCCATCACCTGTAGTATCATATACTGCAACTGCAGAGTCTGTTTTACTGTTTCCTCCTAGCTTACCGTCGTATGAAGCATAATCACTGAATGAATGAAGAATTGCTTTGTTTTGGTTTTCTTCTGTAGTGTCATAAACATCATCTCCGCAAAATGCCCCGCTTTGATTACCAACATCAGCAGGTTTGTTAGACCTAACACTGAGTACGGCATACTCATTGTTTACCTTTTAATGGTCGGTTGTCCTTCTTATCGTGCGTTGTGTCATAGACTTCTTCAGTGAATACCTTTGGTTCCTTAATAAACTTTTCATTATTAACAACAGCATATTCACTACTATTATCGGGAACATTCGGTTGGTCTTCATATGTTGTGTCATACACTGTTTTTGCACCACCATCAAGCTGTTTCTTCGGTTCTAAAGGCTCGGCATACGTTGAAGCTAAAAAATAAAACTAAAAGTATTCGAAAGGTAATGTCGCATTTACCAATGGCTATGGTCAAAAGTAGTAAAATGCAAGGAGGCGGGGCTTTATCCTAAAGTTACTGTTATAAAACCGCGCTAGTCTTATTTATAGATACGTGTAAACATGAGTTACCTTTTATTTCAGATGAGGTAATTTCATTTTTAGATGTTCATATGTCCTGCTTATGTGTCATTATTGGCCTATCACTGGAGAATTACAAAGGTGGTTAAACCCTTGGTCTGTGTTGCATTAAACAGCGTCCCAAAAACTATTTTTGATCCAAGACATATTATTTTATGAAATTATCACAACAATTGAGACTGACCTGAATTTTGACTGATAATTGCAAATATCTACTTTACTTTTGAAACTGAAGTACTTGAAAGAATATATTAATATAGTACTACATGTACTACATGTTTTATAAATTAATGAAAGATTTTAAGACCAATACAAAACTCCCACAAAGGTATTAACCTGATTCAATCTCTTCGTAGTTGATGGTACTCATTTGCATATTCTGTGTGTTTTCATTTCCTGTGCATGTTTTATCAGCTGGTGGTCTTTGTCTGAAATGTTTAAACGAAATTTTATCTCAGATCTTACATATTGCTTTTAGTGTAGCTGTCATTCATCAAAACAGGCGTATTTTTCAATTTTGCTACCTTTTTGACTATTTTACAATATATTATAAATTGAATAGCTTTTTATTTTAATATATTTACGCAGCAATCCAAAATAGCGTTATAAATAGACTTTTACCAATACAAAGTTTGATGCGTCCGTTACTCACTAGTCAGGGTCGTTAAATTCAAACAATTTGACTCATCGCTTTGGGCTCGAATCCTGTATTTTTCTTCAGATTCTTTAAACGTGAGGAAAAATATCAAAGCTAGTTACGTATTCAGTGCTATTTAAAATCCAAATGGTAACATCTAACATGATTTATATTCTAAAGCCATACAAAACAATACTATTACGAAAATGAAATATTAATTTTTGTGCCTTTCAATTATATGTACTGTACGCAACCTTCTCTTTCGTTTTTACCAGACAACATGCTAGAATAAATTAGCAGAATGATTACAACAAGACCTACGCCAGCAGCTGTAGAGATAGTTATTAGAAGCTTGTTGTCCTCTTGTATAGCTTTAAAAGAAAACAGATTGCTGAAAATGTATATCTTTTTCTTATATCTTATTATAGAACACACAAGTACGAGGAATATCATTCAAATTTGATATTTTAGTTATTTCGTATAAAGTACATTTGCGTTTATTGAACGCCGCCTTTCCTTGTTAATATTATTTATCATATATTAGGAATACATTAGAAACATTATTCACAATTGAATATGAATACAAAGATCAACCAAGGGAAATGCCGTTCGCAGAACGCAGCCTACAATAGCGACCAGTCAAGCAAGTCCATCGAACGTAAACTGGACACAGACTGGAAGGGCACAAGGGCGGTGAAGGGGAGAGTGGGCTTCTAAAAACTAAAGTTTTAGCACTTTATTGTTACACATTGATATTTCATACACAAATATTGATACAACTTTAATGTATGCCTATTTGGTGTATGCTGTCATTATCTAATATTAATGATAAAGATTGCTGGATACTTTTTATTTCTCAAAAAATCTAACTTTGTTTACATAGTCTTACCTTTAGAACATTTCACCCTTCATATCCTTCGATACAACCAAGCAGACATTCCAATGTAACCTGGTTACAAGTCGTATTTTTACATTGACTGCTGCATCTGTTCTCACATCTACTGCCATGAAAACCGTCTTTACATCCATAAAAACAATGCCCATTTACACCATCACATATGCGTTTACTTTCGTTTGACTTGCATGTATGAGGACATGAATCGTTGCAAAACAGCCCAAAATAATTCATTTTACACCCATCCGAGCACTGTCCCGTTTTCCAATCACACCCTCCATTGTTGCAAGTATCGTTACAATGTTTTTCACAGTGTTTTCCCGTATCTTGTAAACGACTTACATCCCTGTAAACACATCCCCGTATCACTTGTGCAAACTCGGCTATTGTCACTATCATTACAATGTGTGCTACATTTTCTTAAGCAATCGTCAGAGAACGTCTCACGCGTGCACTCTAAACATTTTCCGTCAGTTTGACTGCATTTTTCACAATTTTTAGCGCAATTTTCCGCGCATCTTTCACCCCATTTTCCAGGCACACATCCTCGTGTACAAACACCAGTATCATTGCATACATTGTCTTTACAGTTATATTTACAACGTGTACATATACTTTGATTACTTCCATAAGGAATGACCCGATAATATCCACTTTCACATTTTATACATTCTTTATAGCTCCCTGATTCATTTGTGCTACAGGCATGGCAATTTGCTTCTGTATTCCGACATGATTTGGAACAGTTGACCCCATATGTACCATTTTCACACGTTTTGTTGCAAAAGTTTCCAGTTAATCCCGGTTTACAAACAAAGCAACGGCCATCAGTAAGTGAGCATGATCCGTTACAGCCGGATGGACAAACATCTTTACATGTTTCCCCATAGAAGCCATTGTTACACTGTGTACAATTAGATTCCGAAGTACAGACTGAACAATTCCCTGGGCATTTTAAATCACAATACGTTCCATATAGTCCAGGTGAGCAGGTATCGCATTTATCCCCGGTAAATTTAAGTTCGCATCCCCTATAACAATGTCCATTTTTTTTACTGCATTTACCATCTTTGCAGCCGTGTGGACATATGTACTGACAATATGATCCGTAATAACCGTTGTTTTTACAGACTGTACAGTCTGTGTCTGATATACAAGATACACAGTTAATTCGACAAGTATTGTTACAATCATCGCCATACTTATTATTCTCGGAACAATAATCACATTTACCTGTTTTAAAATCCGTCGATTTACAAGTACAATTCCCTGTTATCGAGCATGTATTATTTATACATCCTTTTCCACACGGTATATTACATTTTGTAAAATAGTTACCAGGCTTACAGTCTGTACATCTATATTCATTTTCACAAGTATTGCAATTTTCTGGACACTTTTCTGTGCATTTTTCGCCAAAATATCCGGCTGTACATCCGTTGAGGCATTTTTTATCGGAATCACACGCGTGCTGTCCGTTTTGGCAACATATACATTCAGGACATGTATGTATCGATAATCCTAGGAAAAAAAACCCATACTTTTTGTAATTTGAATTAATTTCACAATATCAGGAATTAACACGCCTACTTAGGAATAGTATAATCACATTTTACTGCAAAATGGAAAATTAAGATATGAAATGAAATGCGAAAGGCTTCTTCTTGTAAGAAATATATGTTTTTCTTTTCTTTTGAAAAACAAAATATCATCAAAATAGAGAATTATAAAACGGAATCACCAAAGAAAAGCAAAAAACGACTGTTTATTGTACAGTACTGGAAGTGTTCAGTTACCATCCACGTCCCCACAATCTAGCAAAGCATAGCTAGTATTCAGCGTTTACTTTCCAGTCCGTCCATGAACAGACTAAGTCAAACCGAGACTGCATAGTTTTTAATTTTGCTGTGACAGTTTTGGACGTTCTTTAGGAATTCATTGTTTCTCTTTATTTTACTGTCCACTTTTTATAATTCCGTCATTATTTTATTATGTAAAATAGCATAAAATAGATATTATATTATTTTTTGAAATAGTCTTCACTCTAAGCTAATGTTGTAGATTCAAATTCAATTTTACCTATACATTTTAGATTTATGCATTCCATATTTGTTCAGTAGAACTACTTAATTACATATAAGATCGGTGCAGTGAATTCAAATGGTTCTTACAAAGGGAATAATCTTGATTTTGTTTGCAAAATTAGCGCTTTAACATTGCCTTTGGCACTTTTTTTTAACGATGCAAACTTACTTAAATCATAACAATCAATTCAAAAATAACACATTGTGTATACCAAAAAAATGAAATTCAAAGAATTCAATGCAAACAAAAAATACATACCAAATTGCAAGAATATTACCACAGATATAACAGACAGAGCAGTCGGTGTCATCTTTCCTTACGCAACAGAACCTACAGAAAATTTATAAAAAAAAAACAAATTGATTACGAATACCAATAAATGGTAAAAGTTATTTTTAGTTTCATTGTTATATAAAGAAATGCAATGCCGCAAGTGCCTTTATTAGATAAATTTCGTAACATTTATTTATGTACTTTTTGTCACGCAAGAGGGTGTTTTTTATGGTGACGTCATAATCTGAGAAAGTATCAATATGGCGGTCCGCAAACATGATTATTAGGGTATATCCATTTAGAAGTGTAATCTTATATGGGATCGATGATAAAATTATATGTATTTTATCCGAAATTTTTTGGCACACTTTCAATTGTCTAATCTTCGGACTATGTTTTTAAAAATTAAAAAATATTAAACTAAATATTATATGGAGACTAATCAACACTATACTATATATAATGAAATAAATACTTGTATCATAAGAAACGCAAATACATCATAATATATATCGTCCTTACTTGTAATAATAGAATATCCGTTATTTGAATTACTCACTATTCATTTTCTGACTAAAACAACTAATTGTGTTCCTTAAACACCGCCTTTCCTTGTTGATCTTGTCTATATATAATATCATATATTAAAGTATCCGGTAATTTATCTCAAATAATGAAACACATATTGATAGTTTAAGTTGTACAATGCTTATTGTTGATACATCTAACACTTGAAACGCAACAATACATAAGGAAATATATTGCCTTGAGATGAATGCGAACCGGAAAAAATGCAAAGTTATATCCTATTAACTTCTCACGTGCCTACATCATATTAAAACTCCTACAAAGTTATGATATAAATCTTTGAAAACTGTTTACTCGAAAACTTTAAAGCGGCACGTCTCCAGATTCATCCTAATTTTCATGAAAATTTTGAAAATGTATTTAAAGGTAAAATATTGTGAAATGAACAAAGAAAGTACATGACACATTATAATCGGCACTTGGAATCCACGTAAATTACTAAAAAGAGGTCAAAATATGCATAAATATCCCCCACTGCGTTAGTAACGCAGTAGAAATATGGTGATAAAAACTACAAAATACAGACATTAATTGCACATAAGGCCTTATACAGTTACAACCTAGCAAAATATTGTGGTCGGTATTGGCAGTTAGCACGATTTTTTGTAAAATTTTTTTTTTTGGGGGGGGGGGACACTAACAATTTCATGAGCACCTCAGTTTACAATTTTATCACTGTCGTTTATGCTAAAAATTCCGGTGCTTAGGGGTGTCGACGTTTGCATGCGTTGACCGCTTCCGTTCATTAACCGATTAATTCGAGCAGATCCTTTAAACACTTTTAATTTTGTCGCTTTGGGTGTTTTTTTTTTTTTTTTTTTTTTTTTTTTTTTTGTTTTTTTTTAAAAGAGATTACAATTTTTTGATATTCTATTTATCTACTGTTGTGTTATGATACAACTGTCTTTTCGTAATAATTGTTGTTTAAACTGGCATATAACATGTATAACAATGGGTATTTGTTTGTTAAGATCACAGCTTAATAGAATTATCAATATCTTCAAAAACATGCCGCCGCTGTGGCTGAAATATTACTTGATGATTTTACGTGCAAAACACACATTTCCTTAATTCAATTTCAATTAATATCCTGTCTATTTTTATTTTACGTGCAAATCACACATTCACATTCAATTTAAATCACTAGTCTAATGGCTGTTACGCAAGGCGCGCCTGGACGTGGCCTTACAACAATTGTATCTGTGTCTCTATTTAAATTTTTATTTTTTCAAATGCAGTTTTGGGTTCGTTATCCAAATAAGTGTAGTTAGGTTTTTAAAATACATCTACTTCAATTAATAATTAAAGATGACGTTTGTTGTATCTATATTCATATTCTATGTTCATTTTTCTCGGAATACGAACATGATCAAGAGTCCGTTGTAAATCGGTCAACTCTGTATTCAATTCCGGTTATCTAATATAACAAATAAAACACCGGCTGCGGCAAAGCCCTTTACCGGGCCCTAAAAAGCTAGATATTCCTGTTTTGTAAAGTCAAGCCGGTTTTATTTTTCCTTGCATATAAAAAATGAATCGTATTTTTTTTAAAAAATAAAAGAAACTAAAAAATTTTCCCTTTTTTTAGGGGTTCTTTCTAAAAGTTTGGGTAAAGAATTTTTCAAATTTTTCAAAAAACGGTAAAAAAAGACGTCATTCCTAGAACGCAATATTTCAATAAAGGCGCGTTGGAATGACGTCATTTAAAACATGCGACTTGTCATTCATTGGGGATGTAAGACAGTATTTTCTAGCACCTTGTGAAAACAGTAGATAATCTTGTGTGATATTCAAGAAAATCCTGACTAAACTTATACTTTTTGCAAAATTTTCAAACTTATATTCAAGTTAGCATTTGGCGTAGCACATAGAAGGATAAAAAGCTATATCTTTAAGAAATATTTTTATGAAATTTACCTACAGTGGATTCATAGCACTTCCATTCTCGACGAAAGTTGTAATATTATATGTCTACGTTATTTAAACCCACGTGCGTATTGTACGAAAACAGAATTAAATGTTCCGGAACAAAATATGATCATAATATTTAAGGTAGTGGTATATCCGTTTAGCCATGCCTTTTCCGTGAATGTGCCAAGCATTTTTTAAGGCAATTTACTTCCATATTTATTTCATTTTTAAGAATTATGAATGTATTTTTTCTTTTGAAATTCAAACACTAAACTTTGCAGAGAAAACATAAAGCTTTATTTTAAATTTAAGAAATAAGTTAATATGGAAGCAAAAAATTTCTCATTCATAGTATTTTACAGAATTTAAAGCATTTCTTTTCAAAGTGTAATTGCTTAGTCAGTGTGGACTGATCATTTATAGATTTAAAACATTACATGCAATAAACATAGATGTGTAAATCTTAATCCGAAACTGGGAAATTATTTGGATTCTCATACAGGCTACTCACCAAGTGTGGCTTTGAACTCCGTCGGGGACTTGGACGTCTTTTCATGTAAGGTAGCTTACAAAATTGCATGAGAACGTTTGGTGGTACTAAGGAATCTGAGGTAATTTTCTCCGCCTCTTAAGCGGTTGGAAAATTTGGTCATTTCAATATCGATAAAGACTTAACCCACAGGCAATCAGTAAATGATTTTAATAAATGCACTGTTTGAAGCATGTGCAATAAAAACTCCACTTATAACGATATTCAGGTGACTGTCATATTCATATCGTTTTAGCCGGATATCGGTATAACCAAGAAAAAACAAATGTCGATAACGAAACCACGTCATCGTTACAAGAGGTTAATCGTGATAAGTGAAATCGTTAAAAGTGGAGTTTATTGTATATTATACAAATTTCTCGTGTTGAATAATATGAATAGGAAATGTGTTACAATCTTCAACTGGTTTAACAGATCTTGAAGAGTAGTAAAGGATACGCTACAGTATCACTTAATTAGCTTGTTTCCTTTATATTGTCAAGTTATGATGAATTTTATAATAGGGAGTGTCATTGAAACGATTCGAGCAGCTTTCAATCATTTGGTGCAAACAAGACTGATTTGAATTTTGGATTTAAGTAGTTACAGGTATTTCATTAATTGTACTGTAATTTTTTGCTCTGATGCTTATATCGTTTTTAGAAAACCCTTGTTTTTAGGATTAATATTGTTATTTACTTTTTATTATCTGCTGGAAAAATAATCATCTATTGAAGACATCACCTTGTCAAATTCCAGTACTATAATGATGACTACGATGTGCAAATTGAACGTGGTCTTGTACTTATTTAAAAATGAATGTTTTTTTTTTCAAGATTTAATGTCACCAGCTGCAATTATTTTTAATGTTACATAAATAACAGTACGTCTGTATTTCAAGCTAAGCTTATCATTGTTTTACAATGTGAACTTAAGTAATCTAAGGTTAAGTTATTATTACCATGGGGTCCCGATTTATTTGGTTTGCTTCGGCGATTTTAACACATTTGTGGTAAACCCTCGGCTTTCTCAGACAGCTTACCAATTTAAAAGATTATTAATCTCACATGATTTCTGAACTAGAGGTGAGAGATAAATAACCAAAGAACATAAACGTCCCCAAATCATTTGAGCCGCGTCACGAACAAAACCAACAAAAATAGGTTTGCGAACCCAGCATGGATCCCAGATCAGCCTGCGCATCGCGCAAGGGCCTGATCAGGATCCATGCTGATCGCTAATCAGTTTCTCTGCTTGTTATATAATAGTATGTAAGCGAAACAGCCATGGATCCTGATTAGAACTGCATGGATGCGCAGGCTGGTCTGGATAATAGCTTTGGAACGCAAACGCATTATGTTGGTTTTGTCGTTACGCGGTTCATTTGTCAAGGAGACATTTTTTAACTTCGCCGCCCCGAGGAAGAAAGTTTACCAACAAAATCCGACCGCTCTCTCTTTTTTTAGCTATGCAAGCCGACAACTGTAATAGCAAAAACAAAAACTTATGTAAAATATGAAACATAAACATCACAGAATTGCAATACAAGAAACATTCAACCGTACCAAATCCACATTTCCTGTTTAATTTCGAATGCTTAAATATCTTGCGACACAATGATAATTAAAAAAGAAGAAATGTCTTAATTTTCAAATGCTCAAGAAATGATGTTTTCCCTATGTTTTTGTAAAAAGAACTCCACTGAGTTTTTACCTAAATTGACAAGATTTTGCTGATTCATGTTTAACTTGATGTAAATCTGGACCAGTAAATTGTGAAAATAATACAGGTGTATAAACGCTAATTTATTTGCAAGTGAAAGCACAAAAGGCTTGATAAAAATGTTTTTATAAAAGATTTTTGTTCTATTTTAGCCCAAGAAAAAATGTGTCAAAATATTCACGTTACTATTTTGCATGTAAATTTTTTTTAAATCACGTTATGGGTCTTCTGTTTTTAAACAAATTTAAAACATTTTATACACATATCATTTAAAAGTTTGTAAAATTGTTTATTTTTAAAGTTCCTGCGTTGCGCGGTTTTAAAAAAAAAACCAAATAAACCTTTTATTTTTTATTTTTATTGAAAATCAAAATTTTAAACCCTTGCAAATTTTTTTTTTGTCACCGAAAGGTTTCAATTCCGCACTTCAGGTTTTAAAACGGAACGACCAAAATTTTTGTCATTAATTACTTCAATATTTTTCACACTATTTGATAATAAAAACAAAAAAACAAAATTTTCATGTTAATTTAAAAAATTTACGGTATTATGCGACTTGCCTAGAATGGTATGTGCTGAAGGGCAAAACGCTGTGATTCAAAAAAAAACGAAAGGGCGGGTTTGGCGGTTATTTTTTCGCAATGCACAATTTTCCAAAAATTTCAATACTTTAAAATTATAAAAAAGATTAAAATTTTAGGTATATTTTAACAAATGTATACCCTTGTAAAGGGGTTTAAAATAAAAATGTCGATAACAGGGGTGTTTGTAACAAGGATTTTTCAGAGGGAAATGGTAGTGCGGGGCTAAATTTAAAATGTAAAAATTTTTCCCATTAATGTTGGGGTGGTAATAGCCAAAATGTTCATCTGTACAACA